TCAGAAAAACACTCAGTAGATGAAAACCTGTCTGCACTGATCCACAAAGTGAGTAATGTCATATCTGTCTGACCAAGAGTACAGCTTTTAGTCAATATTATATAGGGTTAGTTTTAGGGTTAGGGTTAGATTCAGGTTTAAACTCATATCACCATTTATGCTGATAAGTGATAATAAATTAAACCAATTTCTCTGAAGCTGAGATGAGGTTGAGCTCAAAAAAGTCATTGTGAAACAGTTTTTCAAAGAATTTAACAAAATACAAAACATGAAATTGAGAAATTATTTTTATTGTGCTGCCACCTGTTTCTACAGGTCTCATGTCAGAATCTGAATGTAAATGCATTTGTATGTAAAATGTTAAGATCAGGTGGGTCTGTTTTGTGTTAGGCAACACACTGAAAAGGTTACAAGCTGGAAATATAAAAACATCCATTAATCAGGTTTCAGATATTAAAGAGTAGAAGGAAATAAGATTCATCATCTGTTCTAACAAACAGATAATTACTTAATATATCAATAGTTCAGAAGCACATCTTAAAACATTAAAATCTCCAAAATATTGTCATTGATAAGGTGCAAATCTATTTTAAATCTTTTTTTTTTTTGGTAAAGAAATAACATATATACTTGGAATTTTTCAGGTTGCAACAATGGCGTCTGTTAAAGAGCTGCTTTTAGAAACGCTCAATGATTTGAATTACAAGAAGAAGACCTTTAAGTGGTTGCTGCAGTTTACGTTGTTCAAGAGGAACCTTCCACAACTCTCATGGGAACGACTGAAGTGGGCAGACACGGCAGACCTACTGGTGGATGTGATGGTGCGGGACAACACATCACGCGTCAACGAGTCGCTGCTGGCAGAGCTGCAGAGATCAGGCGAAGTTTCTCAATGCCGACAACACCCGAACCAGGAGGGATACGGCTGCAGACGCTGTCAGACGACCGAGCCCCTCAGCCGCACTCAGCACAGGGTGACAGGATACAAGAGAGCACAACTGTCACATTAATCTATAATAATAGGTAGATAGATATAGATAATACATTTTTTATCTTTGGGGCAAAATATTTAGTATAGCTTATACTATAAAGCAACACAACAACACTATATAGGACTGCCATGACAGCAAAAATACAAAAGAGTTGAATCAACAACAACAGATAGACCTCCACCTGAAAGACCTGAAATTGAAATATTAATATATTATTCTCAGGACTAAATATTGTATTCAGGACAAAGACACATAAAGTTTACACACAGTTTATTTATTATTATGATTCAAATTTGTATTAAATGTGTTGCAGCTGCAGGATCATCAACTGAGGCATTAGGTGTGAATACCACGGAGAGAGGTAGGAGCCATATACAAAAAATAAAGACACTTAAAATATTAATTAAATATATAAAGTTTCCTACAGTTATTTTAATTAACATTTCAGTATATGAATTGTTAACAGAGTTTAACAGCAAATACGATCCATCAGGTTGGTTATTGATTTTTACTATTAAGTAGATTTGTTAATTTTGCAATGAATCCCTAATATTAGAATTCTTATAGTCTGACAGTGTCTGATTGAATAAATCATTTATCAGTCCTTTTATATTTTCTTTGTCCTCAGAGAAACACTCTGTGGATGAACATTGGCCAGCACTGACCCAGAAAGTGAGTAATGTCACATCTGTCTGACTTTAAACTCAGGCTGAAACAATTAATAGATCAGTTGATCCACAGAAAATAAATATCTGATTGAAAGATATTGCACATTTTCTCTGAATTTACCAGGTGGAGACGATGGCATCTGTGATAGAGCTGCTTTTGGAAACACTGAAAGATTTGAAATATAGGAAGTTCAAGGAGTTCAAAGAGATCCTGAGGCAAATTCACTTTCCATCGTTTAGGAAATTGGGGGTGCTGGAGACAATGGGCCTGCAGGACACAGTGTTTTTATTGGTGCAGACTTTTGGTCAACGGTCTGTGGAGAAGACCAAGGAGGTTTTAAAGAAGATAAAGAGGACTGACCTGGACCGAAGGTTGTCTGACAGCAGCACAGGATCCAAAAGTAAGACAAAAAACACCTTAAAATCATGAAATTTTATCATGAAAGAACATGATTCTTATAAGTTTCTAAGCAATGTTTTCTTCTCTTTATAGTAAAAAGTACAATTTTGAATCTAAAAAAAAACCATAATCTCATGTACATTATATATTTTATAAATAACATGAACTATGAAAAATATTGTGAGAGGAGGTTATACACTGAACAGGTTTTGGGTTAGCCTTCACTCTCCACGTGCATCAATGACCTTCGGCCCAGTTCACCGCTTTTTGTTCCTTGCCACTTTTTGATAGGTAGTCTGAACCACAGACTGCAGCCCGGGAAGTACCCAAAGATGCTGCAGTTTGGAGATGCTCTGACCCAGTCTTCTTACAATGAATTTGTTGCTTGTCATAGTCGCTCAAATCCTCACGCTGCTCATTTTTCTACTTCTGACACATCAGCTTTGAGGACAAAATGTTCACTTTCTAATATATCCCACTCATAATCAGTGTTATTCACTTCACCTGTCAGTGCTGCTCATAATGTAATGGCTGATTGGTGTATGTCACTGTTATGGAGATTTAAGTGTGATTTTATGTATTGTACAATATTGCCTGATAACAATGTTTATCCTCAGATGTTAGATCAGTTGCTTATGAGTGACTTTTACCACTTTTCTCCT